TAGTTAGTGATGTCTTTAACATATTTCAATTATGCCTTTAGGTACTTGGGAGTACTGAAAAAAATTAGAGGAAATTACTACTTGAAGAGAATTTTTAATTATTCTTTCAATATTTCTAAAAAATTTGGTAGAAATTTTGACTTACAAAATTTGGGTGGTTTAATTTCACTTTCAAACTCACTTATGTCATGTCCTTTTCAAACTCACTTAGTATTATGTCATGTCTCTTCTTTATGAGATGGAGTTGATTGAAAATAAAGAAATTTAGTTTCCACCATTACTTTAAGCTAAAGTAATTATACATTTAATTTTGTGTTTAGAAGCATTTGTTTGAGGTCAAGTTAGGTTACCTTTTTATCATTGTTATTGAGGCTTGATGATTTCTTTACCTAATGTAGGTTGGAAGAGAAGAAATTTAGTGTTCCTATCCTATGCAAGAATGAGAGAGAAACTTTTTAGATAGGTGAGTTCATCCGATGGGTCTACCAATGTAGATTTAGGGATCACTTGTTTAGGCAACTCTAGATTCTAGATGCGCAACTCTAGATTCTAGTTGTGCAATTGAGGATATGTTTGGTAATGTTTTAGTTTTTAACATTTTTAAGAAATCCCCCCCGAACACAGCTTACAACTTTCATCGTACTGTGCTCTCCAAAGAGCAACTCTTCTCAAAATCTCAAAAGGTACTGAGTTGGAATCCCATTCTAACTAAGGATTCTTGTGGTTCCGGAGGATCCAGCTACAGGAGAACCAGGAACGGAGAGCTTTCCCCTTTTCCGCCCGCCTCTTTGGTCTTAAGAATGCTGGTTTTAAGAATGAGTGATTGCCCTTCTCCGACCCTAAATCTAAGTATTTTACAACTAATTTTGTTTCTTGTTTCTTATTTTTTGGGAACATTCAGCTCACAATTATATAGAAATTTAGGAAACAATTAAAACAAGTTTCTCATTTTTTGTTTCTATTTTCAATTTGTTTCACAACATAAATAAAAAGATTGTTTTATCATACTTGAATTTTTGGAGGTTGGAACCATGTAACTAAACGAAGAAACAAGAACATTATCAAATGAACCCCGAGGGTTGTGCAACTAGCTTGAAAAGGTTGAGAATTCTCAAGTAGCTTGAGACGAAACTTGTCCTTAAAGGGACTGCAAAAAAATTTACATGTTCTTTGAGTGTGTATGTTTGTTGTTAATGCTTCAAAACTTGGGAATATTGGTAGGCGACAGCCAAGTACCTGTATGTGTTTGTGAAATGTCCTTWTATGCGTTAGAATTTGTACGAGGGTAGAACTAGTTTATGGAGATGCTTTTGCATACTTCAATATCGAAAATGAGCTTGCGAAAATGAGCTTATTTTTATTTATATTAGCAGTGGAACAATCATTGCTGTGACAATTTATGGGGTTAGACAATCACATTCATTGTCTAGGGCACGTACCTTCTTAGTCTACATTGATTTACTTCAGAATGAGTGTTGTAAACTAAACTACAACAAGATAAGCTCTTTCATCAAGCTAGGTTGATATGAACCAAGGAGCTACCGTTGTTATGCCTCATGGACCGATTACAAGATCGAGAGCTAGGAAACTTCAACAAGCTTTGCTACTTCATGTCCAAGCGTTCTTGAACTCGACAAGAGAAATAAAGGAAGATGTGCAAGAAGTTAGAACTATGCACTTCAATTTGGTGCAAGTTATGCATTTTTAAGTGTTTTTATGGCAAGTTAAAGTCCACTTGGTCAAGGTCAAAGTCAACTCCATCAAGACAAGTCAAAGTCAACTCATTCAATTCAA